GCCCAGGCCCGGCCCCGCCGCCCAGGCCCGGCCCGGCCCCCTCGGGCCTGCCCGCTCCGCCCTGGAGCGGCGCGGCCGCGCGGAGGAACGCGGCGGCGGCAGGAGCCTGCCAGGGACAGGCGCTGCCTCGTGATTCTCCTCGGTTATCTGTTTGTTTTACTGCGGGGGGAGGACAGGAAAACTGTAGGCTTGGGTAGTGGAGCTGCTTTGCTGCGGTCTTGTCTACACTTTTAATGCCACGGTCCTGCCCTCTGTAACCCCCGGAGCGTTGATGTATTCCTCAGAGCAAAGCAAAAACAGCAGCAACGAAACAGTAATTCTTTGGACCGCTGCACATGCTGATTTGTATAACTCATAGCAAATCCCACCTCTTGTTTTAGGCAAGGACTTAGCAAACACGCCTTGCAGCATCATCCCCCGCCAGAACCAGAACCGCCGGCTGAGCTGCGCCCGGCCTCACCCCCGGGCGAAAGCTACGGAGGGATCTCAAGGTAAACGCATGAAGTGCACCTCTGGAGACAACGGGAAAAGGAAGGACAGTTCCAACCTACATTAACGTATGCTGTGTTTTCTGCTTAAATGCCTCCAATACAAATATTTATTTTCCATCTATAAAAACTTCCTTAGGCRTGGCTGAGACCTATTCTGGTGTATTTATGCTCTTTTGTTCAGAAAGAAAAGTTTACTCACTTTTTTGTCATTCTGTATCATTGATTCTTCTTTTTTTTTTTTTTTAATCTTTCTACATTTGCATTCCAGTGAATCTGAAATCTCGAAGGAAACGAGTTACCCTTCTGTCACTCCAACCGACCACGGGAATTCATGGTCTGCTACTCAGAGCTATGCAGGAACCACCACGGAAGACAGCTCAGTCTTCTCCTGGGGCTATGATGTGAGTTGAACGTAATCATCTAATCCAAATCTGGCACAGTGAGTAGGAAAAAAAAAATTGAAATACCATGGAAAGTACATTTCAGGATAGAGATGAGGACTGGATATATAAATAAAGCAATAAAGTGGTTGCAGGAAAAAGTCTCATTTTCAGCTCTTCCCCATCTTTCTCTTCCTCTTAAACCAAAACAAATTTGTAGTCAATTGGAATTCTGCATTTGTGGTCTAAAACATTGCAAATATATTAAATGCATAAATATATCAACAGATGTACACATATACACACGTAACATAATATTATTCTTATGGAATTATATAAATGGATGATATTAATACATTTCATCCAATTTCAGTTTTCAAAAAATGTTTGGATATTTCTATGTTTCTCAAAATATAGTAAGCCCTTAAAACATTATTTTAATTTTAAAATGTCTTTTATTTCCCATCCCCTAAAACAAAGGGTGCTACTGCTTTCTGTGAGGTAGGGATGGGAACTTTTGGATTGGAATTACTCATGAGCTACCCCCATTTTCTACTTACACAGCACCATTTAGCAAAGATGCTCCTCATCCTTCCTTTTCATAACATTTTTCATCAGTCTGCGTTGCTTTTTGTTTTGGTGTTATGTGTGGACACTGCAAGCAAAAATATTCTATTTCACTAAAACCTTGCTGAATTTTATGTTTTGTGCCACATAAATTATATGTATTATAGTATATGTCACAAATTATTATGTCTCTAGCTTAATATAATAGTGTAGACATTTCAAAAGCCTGTAATAGCCTTTTCTTTCTTTTAATCCTGTTGCATCAGTTTAAGTTTTAATGTAGTTGACATCAGCCCTAGCAGCAGTCTGCATCACCTCCCAGGGAAAATATATTTAATGTCCTTCATCTCAGGGGAGGTCCTACTGTTTAAATCTATCATGTTAAGCTTTAAACAGGTGTCTTTTCCATTCTAAAATAAAATAAAAATAAATAAATAAAACTTCTCAAAATTTTATTTGCTCTGTTTTTATTTTATAACTTTCCAGGAATTTGATAAAGCTGCCACACGACAAGTTCAGCAACTGTTCAGACAAATTGATGAGCTGCTTTACGAGCAAAAAGAAACTGAACTTGTTGAGGGACTGCAGGAGGAGTGCCAAGAGTGGACATCCAGCTTTCCTTATCTCAGGTTTCCAATTTTATTGTTTAGACTGATGTAATGAGCGTGCCACAATTACAAAAGAGCAGGAGCACTCATGCTAAGAGCTGGTTTTTGAAATGATATTAGCAGCAGGGTGATTTTATGTAAATATGCAGTAGATGCAGATAAAGATCACTCTCATAGTATGCCTTCCACTGTCATTGTATAAATATTCTGCTATCTCATATTTTGAACCATTCTGTACAAGGGAAGATGTCTCAAGCCACATTTAACTATTCACTAATGAAACTGTACAGCTTCCTAACAGAATTTTCAGTATTTGCTGCTGCATGCTGTTGCACACTTGCGGAATTTTACTTTCAGCATTTTCTAATTTATCTTTTGCCTTTTGCCATGGCAGGGTTGTGGGGAAGCAGATAGTAAGTCCCACAGATGAAGGGTATGGATGGTATTCAAGTTCACCCTCTGTCAGTTTAGTTTCGTCAGATCTGAGTTTGCCACAAGAAGATGATTCCAATGAGTAAGTAGTAGCAGTTAATCCAACCTGCACCAAGATGGGAAGGTTCTTTTCTCCTCAGTGGACTGCAAAGATCAGCCTCTTAAACTGGGAGCAATATGCAAAGGAAATTTTTGAACCTTTATTTTTTTTAATCTGGATTATGAATACAGTGTTTAACTAAAAGTAATGCATAGAAAATTGAATAATTTATTGTGCAATTAATGCATCTATTTATTGGCCTCTCTGCTACCTAGCCTTACCTACCATGTTGTCTCTTAGCCCCTTAGTTTACTAGATGCTGCTATTACAAGTGGAATAACATCTTCTCTTTTCATTTCTGCTTTCTGAAAACTTTCCCCTGCTCAGATTTAGTGTTTTGGGCAAGAAGGTGCCTCTTTCCGTTACTCCTGCTCACAAAAGGGCTGGCCATTCCAAGTCTCCAACCTCGTGCTCTCCGGACAGTGAAGAAGGTGAAGATGGAATAATTATCTCCGAAGGTGTAATGGAAGAATATCTAGCCTTTGACTGCAGAGATGTGTAGGTATTGACTATGATGATAGTAGCTAGTTCTGGGATTTCTGCTATTAAGACATACATATTTACTTTTCATGTTGGTGTTTGATAAAAACTTTTTTTCCTGATGTCTTTCCTCTAGAGAACTTACAGGAGCCTATGGTTGATAGGGCACTGGGAACTGTCTTTGTCCATCCCTTTAAACAATTTATTTTGCAATAATAGTTGAAATATTTTTAACGCTTTTCATACTAGCTGTTTCCCTTTGTAGTTCACCATAACTTAAGAGCCTGATATATTTTGGCAGCTTTAATAGAAGCAGTTTAAATAGCATTTATTTTTAATATTGAGTCAAATTCATTGCTGCTTGTCAYGCACTAGCAACGTGCTGCTGTTTTTTTTGTACTAAAGTACACAAACTAGCATTTTGTGTGCAACTGTACCTTTCCAGGCTTGCAGTGGTAGTCAAAGAATTAGTGTGGATATGATACTTGCCAAGACATAAATCACACCATTTTTGTCTTAAGAAGAAAAGACTAAGAATAAAGAGGATTCTTCTTGCCCCTTAAATTTATTCAACCCAATAATATGAACATATGGCCTGGGTAAGGACTTTAGATGGTAATGTTAGTTATTAACTATTTAATTGGTTTTAGTAAAGCTACTTAGATGCAGATGTGAGATTCTAACTGATAGATGACATGCTTTGACCGGGCCAGAGGGACACTGCAATTACAGCAAATGATACTGTAGATTTAGGGAAAACTTGTTACAGCTTCTTCTTTTTCAGAGTTTCTAGCTTTAGGATGGTAAGTATTAATTTGGGGGACAGATACTAAAGCCATAGTAAATATCTGCATCACTATTTTTTCCTTCATTCTACCAAGTTTCTCTAGTCAGATAAAAGTCTGCTTTTTTGAGCGTTTGTCTTCCAGGCTTCAGACAAGGATATGAACAAATGTYACTGTAACTAGAAGTATTTATTTCTAAAAAAGAGATCAAAATTCCATTCAAAGTAATTCTTTTTCATGAATTATCACTTACTGTCATTCTGTATGAGGCAACCAAGGCGTGCAGTGCTGAGGTGATTCCCTCAGTTATTTGTCCTTTAGATCAGCAGCAGGGTCTGGAAGAAATACAAGTTCAAGTGCTTAATGGTCAGAAGCTCTGTTTCTTTATTATTGGACCAGGGCATAGCATAGTGTATTATTGACTCTTAGAAAAGGATATTGTGTGATAAACAGGAGAYTTCTGCTGAAGTTTTCTGCTGTCTTAAGGCTATTTGGTCAACAGCCAAGTATATCTCTATTTTAGAGAAAAAAACAGAACATAAATAAAGCTGTAGCATATGTTGCAGTCCTATCAAATAACTGCAACAAAAATACAGGAGAAGGAGAACATGAATTTATGGTACAGATAACATTCACTTTGTTACAGGGAGGATGAGTTGCATGAGAGAAAAATGAGACTTTCCTCTACTAGACAGAAATTGGGGTTTCCTCCTATTTCTCCATATTCCTGCATGAAAGATTCTGTGCTCACATTTGTGTTTGATGATGTTTGGAGCGAAGTCTTAGGCTGCATGGAGGAATTAATCTGCCGACACTGGGAAGGATCAGCCTCTGGTAAGGATCATGATTAAACTGAAGACTCAAAAATTGATTTCAATTACTTAATTTTGCAGGGATGCAAGGAGAGGGAGATGTGTTTGGGAAAKAATTATTTACTTTGCTAACAGCGTGAAACACGATGGAAAAATTAAACCGAGTTTATCATCTAAGAGGACTCTGTTTTAAAAACAGATTCACAGTAGAGTCCATAAGTAATAATGCAAATAGTCTGTATTTACCGGGATTCTCTGTTTGTGTTGCTTTGGCACAGATGATGAGAAAAATATCATAGCACTAGAAACAACCCCCAGGGCAGATTCTGGAAGCTCTTTGGTCCACTTTGAACCTCTGCCAACATCCTTACCTCGCATGCCACAAACTAAAACACCCTCAGTGGCCCCAAATCCGGTAAGTGTTTTGAGCTAGCTGGTTTGAATAGAGCTGAATCCATACAGCACTGCCCAAGCAGACAGATTCAAGGATGTTGGGGGACTATTTAGATACATAGCTAGTTTGGATTTTATGTGGTTGCTGACTGTCCTTTCTAACACTAAAGCTGTTATTCCCTAGTTAGAATTTTTATTACCTATTTTTCCTCTTTAAAACTTAGTATTTCATATATGTATTGGAAAACCACATGGTGACTTTGCATATTAGTGATGTAGTTCCTTCTTGATTTAATATTTGAACTATATTGTGAGAACCAGGACTGGATGTGTGAGACATTCCATCCTCRCAAGTCTAATGATATCTCATTCACCAGGGAACAAATCTCCATGAAGCCGTAAAACTGTTTTTTTCCCTTAGAAACTGAATTTGACACTGACACTGTATGACATCTGCTTTAGAATTACATGCTCCTAGAGCGGTGAGCACCAGTGTGTTATCTCTGTTCATTCAATTTTAATTCAACTCTTACCTTTTTATGTCTTTTTATTTCTGTCTCCTTCATTTCTTACCCGTCTGTTCCTCACATTCCCCTTACTGTTGTATGTGTAGTGCCCCAAAACCAGATGTGGCCGCAAAACCAAAAAGAGAAGAAAACCACCTCAAGTATGTATGCTGGAGACATTAAAGCTCGCTTGTTTTCTATTTGCTGTCATTGTGGTGGGTGGAATTTGATGTTTTTGTCCATCAGCCCGAATTCCAGGAAAGGAGTTTCCAGTATTGTTCTTGACATAAAAWAAATGCCAATATACACTGTAGAGGAGTACTATAAAGTTCCCAATTACAGTCGTTATTGCCAGATTCATGCAAGTGAGAGCTGCAGTTGGAAAATACTAAATGTGACATAGCAAGGCAGGATATATTTTCTGTGCATTAGCATATGCAAAAACAAATGGAATGGTAAGATGTTTATTTTAGCTGCAAGAGGAAGATAACTGAAGAGAAATCTGAATGTCTTGGATGAATTAGTTTCTTTCCAAAATTATTTGCAAAGATGAAAGATATATATTTTATGTACATCATTGCCAAATGGGTATTATTAATATACTGTTTTTTACCTCACAGGTAAATCTGTCACAAGGATCCAGTAGTGGYTCTCAACGTAATCTAAATGGCTTGCTGGTGATCCAGGGGATCCAGTTACAGCAAAGGAATCTCTCTATCATGGAGAAAACACTGTAAGAACTATTGAGAGAATAAGAATTTTTGCCTGTTGTAACAATGCCCAAAATATTGAGAGATAAATCAGGTCTGATGACCATTCAATTAAAATGTGTTTTTTTAACTCCCAGTAGTCATAAGGATAATCTTGGAAAGCCTTGGAGTTATCTGGAGGTTCCTTACTCTKGCCCTTTGAGGTTAAAATCCTAGAACAGTATAAGTGCCTCTGAAGGYCCCCTAGTACAACCTCCTGCTTACAAATTGTTCTTTTTCCTCACTTTAAATGAAATCTTGAATCAGTGTGTGGTTCATAAAGAAGTAAAGCTGGGCATTCTTTTTGTTTTCCAGATCTTACCCTTTTCTCGTTTCCCTGTCAGTTACTTTGTACAGTTATGTAAGAAGATAAAAACACATCCACATACAACATTACTAATATAAGCTGTAAATTGTAATTGCAGCAACATCCGTCATTTTGACCACGTCTCCTTTTATTCCCCGACTCTCTTGTTAGGGACCTGGATGACAAGCGGCCAGGCTCCAGCTCTTTCCTCTCAACCACAACTTGGCCAAATCGTCCTCTAGAGCTCAGCACGTCATCGCTGTCACATTCGGCAAGGCGGCGAAACCCGCCGCCACGTACCCTGCATCCCCTCAACACAAGCCACTCTCGGACTGGGACGCCGGGATCTGTGGACAAGGTCATCAGAGGAACGCGGCTGTACGTTTCTAAATCAGCTTCTCATGGCAAATTACCAGATTTAGAAAACCAAACCTATACCAAAAGCAGACAAAGAATGGATAAATTATAAATTCATGCAAACTGTTATTGTCATGTGTAATGTCCTATTCAGGTATTTGTTACTTAAACCTGTTAATCCCTGCACAATTGATGTTTCTTCATTCCTCCAATATTTTGTTTCTGCTTCCTTTCCTGAAGGAAGGAAATGCATTTCACAACTCTTTAACAACTCTCCTTTATTATTAGCATATTTATTTAAATATTCATAGCGAATACTAGGAGAGGCTTTAAGAGCTGATCATRGTTAAAGTTCAAATCTCAAGTCAGGCAACACACAACTGTTAGCCAGGTGAGCTAAGACTCATTTTTTGGTTTTATTTGCAACTRTATTTTTAAGATACATTTAAATTCTTAATCATACAAGCTTTCTTTGTTTTCTTAAGACTTGTATATTATTTAAAAGATGAATTTAAAGATGAACAAAGAGGAAATAATGCCCCCCCTTTGACATGGGCAGGTAATTACCACATGATTCTGTGGTAATTGCCCATGAGGACAGCTTTAACTTTTTCTGCAGGACCAGCCCCCTAGCACCCTCCTTTAAGATATACTCCCTAACATGCATTTTAGTTTTCACCTGATCCTCTAAGATTTCTGCTAGGGTGTCATTTCCCAGGGTTACTTTGCCTGTATGGTTAAACATCTCTAAAACTTTGTTCTTCTTAAGAGATTTAAAAAACTGTCAGATTTCACCTATTGCACAACTCATCTTTTAAATCTAGGTCTCCCATAATCAGCCTTAACTCCAGCATCCTGTAGTAAAACCCTAGAGCTGTTTTAACAGTGTCTGCTTTACACAATGCCAAATACATTGTCAAACTAACAAGAATGCATGTCTCTTGTTCTATGCGCATGTCTTTTGTTGTCACTTCTACGTTTTAGTCCGGCTGCGTATGATCAGCTGACCTCACCTTCCCCACTGCTGCTGGGCCGAAACAACCTCCTGCCACCTATTAGTGCCACCAACGTGACGGAGCTCGTGAGCGCGGCAGGACMCCAGAGGCAAACGGTAACTTTATGTAGATGGCCGTTTCATCGTATTTTTTGAGAGTACAGAGTTGTAATCCTTGTTGACCAAATTAGCAGACCCAAGAGCTCTAGTTTGTGTTATAAATAATAGCAGCTGAACTAGGTACACATGAAATATACATTAGTTTTGACCGAGAGCATGACATCACAGTTGAATGCTTCAATTGGAATGAATGCCAGAGGTTTTGTCCTCCCCATAAATGGTTAGAATATGATTAATATACAATTTAATTCCAAGACTAATGGCTTATTTTAACAGACCGCTGCAAAGAAGGTGAGGTTTTTTTCTTTCATTCTTCAATACAGAAGTCCCAAGGGAACTCAACTCGAGCTTTCAGTGCAGCTACACATGAAGATAAACATCTGCAGCTACAGGAGAGGCTTTTCTTACCTGATCACTTCTCCAGGCCTAACACCACCAACACTTCCTTGGTAAAGCACGGCAAGTTCTCCCAAATCCTCTCTGATCTTTAGATGGGGCGTGTGGACAATTAGCAGAGGTAAACATTACTTGGGAAGAAGTGTCACAGCTCAGGAAATTTTTGACAGCTCAGGAAATTTTTGTATTATAATTACTTTGTACTCTATCGTAATTYTAATATTAATTTAAAAGGCTAACATAAAACCTTAACATAACTTGCACTGCCTTTCAGCCAGATGCCCAGCACCGCCGCTCTTGCACCGTTATAGGTTACAGTAAYCACCCTTGGACAAGCAGAGGAGCGACAGGTGCAGGTATGTGGTATGTTACCAATCACAGAAATTAATAAGATCAAGTAACAAGTAGGCATTTGGGACAGGAATACATTTCCTAAAGTACACTTAATGAGGAAGTAATAGTTCTTAAATATTTCCATGTCATTTTGTAATTTTTCATTACACAAGTTTGATACTTGCATATGAAGTTGTGCGTTTTGGTTTGCCACCTTGTATTTTGTGTCATTTAAAAATGCTTAATGCAATCAGCCCCAATTCCTCTTCTGGCTATGTCTGAAAGAAACTCTTTGCTCTAAATTTGTAGGAAATGGTACTAAATCCCCACTAGATCATAAAACAATTACTCTAGATGAACTCACAGTATATTTTACATCCAGTTAACTGAATCACTACAAGTTTAAGTGCATGCTTTGAAATCAGAACATACTGATACTGTTTGATTTGTAACAATTAAGTTATGCTAAATAACTCCATAAAGTTTACCAGTTCACCTCAAATTAAACTACTTATTTATGATGACCAAAGGATCAAGGAGGTAGGAAGATGTTTTTTGTTGCATCTCCTTCCTGTCATAGAAAAATCATTGCTGTATTTTTTTCTTTAAATATGCTTTGAAAATAGTCTTTTTTATATGCTTTAGAATAGGTACAAACATCAGGTTCACTTTCAAAGTAGCAATGTATAATACTGAGTTGCATGCAAGTGTGCCAGCCAACTGCACATCTTTCTTATTTCACCTCCACCTTCAGAGATCTTGAGATCATTGTAGGAAGGGTTTTGATCGTTTGGTCTACAAACCATTGCATAGCAATCAATCCAACTATAAGTTATTGGGAAAAACATCCTCATCTTTGTACCGAGCAGCACGAATAAGCATTGACTCTGCTGTTGTGCAAGACTACTTAAGTGCTGTCTAGCTGAGGGCTTTGAACTCCCAAAAGCACCAGCTGAGCCAAAAAGGGAGCTTGTTCAGAGAGTCTGGCAAAGCAAAAAGCCAGCTTTTGTGCCCTGGAACAGTTTTGCCAAATGTCATATCTCTTACCTTGGCTCCCCTTGAGCCTTCCTTGTCAGCTGCAACATCRAGTGAAATCAGCAATCGCCTCTGCCTGGAAAGGGTGGCACGTTTCTTGGAGTTAGCGATAACTAGCTTTCAGAATACGTTGTAATCATAAAAAATGCAATAGTTAGTAGCATAAAAAGCCCCCCAAACCCAAAGTGTTTTACTAGGAAGTAATATCAAAAGGAGCTATATTACTTAGGTCAAAAGGGTGGCACGTTTCTTGGAGTTAGTGATAACTAGCTTTCAGAATACGTTGTAATCATAAAAAATGCAATAGTTAGTAGCATAAAAAGCCCCCAAACCCAAAGTGTTTTACTAGGAAGTAATATCAAAAGGAGCTATATTACTTAGGTCAGGTACTTTCTAGATGCCTTAAAGTTGTAAAGTTGTATCTTTATTCAATAGGTSTTCAGCAGCATGGCTCTGTGAGAACCCCAAGTCGAAGCGGATCGGTCACAAAAAGCAAGCAAGGGTTGTAACACGCCATAAAGAAGCATCCAGACATCTCCAGAAAGCCACAAACCACCTCCTATTCTCAACAGCGTCAGCGTTGTTTACAGTTTTCAAACACCCTTCCTTACTTAGAGTCTTATTTTTATATAGATCTAAGAAGCAGCTGCCAAAGATCAGAAGGGGTATATTTACACATTCCATTTTCTACCCCCAGAAAAAGTTAGACTCCAGTGGACAGTGAAGCCTAATTCCTAGGAAATCTAGCGACTATGTATGTATCACTGCTCTTTCCCATTAATCACTATTGGTTTGTGACTGGTTGATATTATTACAGGCACATACTGYAGGAACTGCTAATTTTTGCCTTAGCTCTAAGAAAACTAGTCAGGCTTCCATGGCAATAGTAATTTAAATTTTGAAAGCTATATATATATTTAAAGCAATATTATGCAATCAGAAGCAAGAAATGCATAGGATATTTACTGTTCCACTCAACTTGAACAAACTATGAATCCTGCAGTTGTGTCAAATAAGGTAGCAACACAATATAATAGAATTGACAGCTTTTAAGGTAGCACAGTAACGGTCCTTCCTGTGTTACATAGCACTACCTCTTCCTCAGGGACTCGAGAAGGATGTTTAAGAGAGAGGAATAGTCTCTTACTGTAGGCAGTTCCAGGCAGTATTCACAGAAAGTAGCTTTTTGTCCTGATGAGCTGTTTTATAATTTCCATRGGTCATTCAGTCACCCTTTAAAAAAGGCCACCCTGCAGTTACCTAAGTATTTTTGTATTTGTCCATCAAAATCTCTGCACTCTACTGAGGCATTTTTTAGTCGGTGTGTTTTGCACCACATGGCAGGCATCCTGCAGAGTGTTAGCTTTAGCTGTAGTTGCTCTTGTGACCCAAGATAAAAGCAAAGACGCAAAACACCAGCTTTTCACAATAAACCATTAAGTTGAAGGCCTGATTAGTGGAAGGCCTTACGCGTAAGCAGTAAGTGCCAGACTGTAAATAAAGTGTAAAGATAAGATAAACAGTGCATTTTTAACAAAGTTAGGATACTGCACAAAAACACTTGTTCCTTTGCCAGAGAAGCTTGATTAACAATAAGAAAAAAAAAAAAAGTTGGTATTCTTTATAAAGTTGCTCTCCTATTTCCCTGCCATAAGCAAGGCAATCTACCAGATGTTAATGTTCCTTATAGGAGAGCTGATACTTACCCAGTCTGGTCAGTTCAAATATGCTCTGATCAAAGGAAAGCAAAATGAACCTATGGAACTGGTTAACTCATAAATAACCCTGTCCCATATCCCCCAAAGAGAAAAAAGTCTCTATAGAGATTATAGCACAAGTTGGCATAAAGATAAATGGATGCTGAGAGGCTTCTGTTCACCAGCATTTCTCTAAAGGGAAAAACAACTAGAACCACATGCAGCATCATTTAGCTATCTCAGGGTAACTGGAGAAAAACATCCTGTTTTTCTCATCAGTGCCATAAGCCAGCTGATAACTCGGCAAACCTGTCACTTGACAAATACATAACACAACAAAGTGAAGCCATAATGTCATTTTAGTCGATACAAAGGCTCCTTTCTTCATGAGAATTAAAATACTCCCTGTTAACACTTGATCAGAAAGGTCTGGATTGTGACCCTATGATGACAGCCCATGCTCAGGGACCAAACTAATTTTCCGTAGCCCTAGTAGAATTTAAAAATACACAAATGGCAATAAACTTCTAGTAACATAATTCAACATTTTAGAATCTAGGGGAGTCAGTGAATTAAAGATGTTAAAGGCAATCTCATCACAGAAAATTCTTGCTTTTTGTACAAATAGCTGATACCAGAGCGTTCCCCTATAGTATGAGAAATGTGTTTTGCAAAGCAAAGTAAAAGTTCAAATTTCTTTTGAAGTTCAGATTTCTTTCAGATTCTTGCACACYGCATTAAGTGGTTTAAAAAAGGAAAAGCTGAAATTAAAAGAAAAAAAAAAAAAAGAAATAAAACTTAGATATCTGCCACAGGGCACTGTCAAAGACCAGACGCTGAAGACCAAGTGACTCTTCTGTCTGACCTAGTATCACCAGCACTGATGCTGCTATTAAAAATATAGCCATATTTTTAGCCGCCATATAAGTAGCCAGGATTTACTTGATTTGAATCAGTCAGAAGAGTCAACAGTTTGCAGTTTCTAGGGTTTTGAGCAGTTAAGAAATTACAAGATGACACATACAGGGCTGAGGAAGCATGATAGAACAAAGGTTTGCAAAAATCTTATTCTTTATTAAATCTGCATTTTTCAAAAGTATTTTATAAAATGGTTGAAGTATCTGAAAAACACCCATTGAACTGAGGTATACAGACTATTAAAAACAAGAAGATTGTTACAGAACTGCCATGAACAACAGAAAAGGATAAGTCTTCCACCTAATAAGCCATACCAATGAACATTTATACCCTCTCCTCTCCAAGGAGCCGAATCATCCTGTTTTGCCATCAGCAGTACTGATATCCGTTAGGTAGTCGGAGGGAACTTTCTTCAACACAATTTTAATATGGAGACTTCCCCAGACACCACAGCACTTTCATACTGTAACAGAACTGTTAGTCAAGAATCTGTTTGATCTTAACTGAGGATCAACTAAAGGATTTTAAATAACAATGCCAGAATGTTTTGTCTTTCTTGTTCGCAACACGGTCCGTATCGTACTTTCCAGTCACAGCATGTTACTGCGCACACACTCCCAAACAGTAGTCCAGAATATCTCCAAAATCCTCTCAAACCCCCACAGTCTTCCCCTACAAAGTGATACCTGACTTTCCCGTCTACACAGTTCCTTTACTTCTTCCCTTTCTTGGCGGTAGTCTTCTTCCCTCCTTTTTTTGAATTATTCCCGTATTTTGCTTCCAGTTGTGCCAAGAAGTCATCCATTTCCTGTTTTCGATCTTTATTTCTACTCTGTGGGAGGGGGAAAAAAAATACATAAGCAATGTATACCACTACCAAATATAGATTATTCTAATGAYGTTAATTACAAAACACCTGGAATATATTAACCAATATGGAACATATTTAGTAAGGAATACAGATTACAGGAGATACAGGATTATGACGTGAAAGCCTACTGTATGCTCTAGGCACATCCAAGTTCTGGAAGTATCAAGAAATAGGTAAAGAAAGGCTATAAAAGACCTCAGCCTTAGTGACTATTAAGTAAATATATATACATTGTTAACATTAAGTATTTTCATCTTGAGAGGCTCTTATAGCGTAGGATCCAAACTACAGAGATGCTCAGGGAAAACAAAACAATCGGGYCGTAAGAGAATGATCTTCAGGAGATGCAGAAAGCCTTACCTGAATGAGCGCTTTCAAATCATCTTCGCCATCACCAAGGCCCAGTTCTTCTCTGGTCTTTTCTGCCTCTCTAGCTTCTTTTTCTGCCTAAAACAAAAACCACAAACTAGCTTTTAGAAGAGTATTTTTTCGCATGTTATTTCATAGTCTTATAATAGTTACTGAACACTTGACTCTCCAACTTTAGCCAAAGATGCAGACTTTGTCAATCAGAAAGAGAGCCCATTCTGTTTCCTAGATTTGGTGTCACAGATCACTTTTTCATGTTTCAAAATGCTGAATATGATGGGAGGCCTCCTCCTCACACATGACTCTTTTGTCCCAGCAATGACTACRTTTTCAGTTAGAAACCAATTGCTATAGTGCATATATAACATAACACTACACAAAGCATCCAAAAAGCACTGGAAAAAAAAGGGTCCAGAGTTTTATTTTATATGCTGCCAACAAAGAAGCCTATTACTCTTCCTCAACATGTTCTCCTAAACTCCAGCAACGTGTGGCTTAGGGAATAAATAGAAGTACACGCTAAACTACAATAAGCCACAGGGAAGCAATTTTCAGRAAGAAAAAGGAGACAATAAGAAAGTCTGTTGCCACCCAAAACCTTTAGCAACAATTTCACTGAAATAAAAGTGAAAAACTTTTTTTTTTTTTTTTTCTCTTGTGGGAAAGGGGAGGAGAGCGAGGGGGCAAAAGGTGACTAAACGTGACAGTGGAAAGTACTGAGCAAGGCCCAAATCTCTGTGACAAACGTTTCTTAACAACAATTTTGTTTATTTTTACCGCAATAAAAAATAAAGCCTATAACAAACAATGCTTCCCTGTGGCCGCTGATTGATAGGACTCACCCTCCTCTTCCTTGCGTTCATTTTCTGCTTAGACTCCTTCACGAAAGCCTTGTAGGCGGGGAGCTCTCCGGAGTCGATGGCCCCCTGTATGATCCTCCTTATCCTGGGCTCATCCGCGTACTCCACRCACAGCACCGACTCCATGATCTTGTCCATGTCGCCCTCGAAGTCCACGTAGGCCGCCTTGACATCATCGAGCTCCTCTTCCGAGTCCTTGTAGCTCTTCTCGAAGTCCTCGATGTCCTTTATGGTGATCTGGGGACACACACACACACAGACAGACACACACACAGACACACACACAGACACACACACAGACACACACACACACAGACACACACACAGACACACACACAGACACACACACAGACACACACACACACAGACACCACCAAGGGCGGGCGGGCGTTCTTCCGCGGGGCAAGCTCGCGGCTGTCGCCTCGCGATGGCGGCGCTGGGGACCCCTCACCTTCTTGAAGAGCAGCCTCCAGTGCTCCCGCCAGTCGCGCTCGGGCCKCGGCTCCTCGCCCTCCTCCTCCTCCAGCACCGTGCCCTGCTCGTCGTACACGGCGCGCCGCTCCGCGTCGCTCAGCACGGCGTACGCGCGGCCCAGCACCTGCCGCCCGCGCCGTTGCAACCGTTAGGGACCGTTAGCGCCGCGAGGGCGGCGGCGCGCCCGCCCCTCGCCGCGCTCACCTGGAAGCGCCGCGTCGCCTCCTCGCGCGCGGCCGGCTCGGCGCGGTCC